TCAGTCAAATCAATTATATTATCTGCTCTATGAAATGGCTGAGATCCAGGAATAAAGCCAAGGAATTTCCCAGATTCAGTAGTGCTTATAGTATCAAAAGCTACCGGATTTACTTTGGAGACTGGCAAATGCTGAGGGAACCTGACATTCCTGAGACTGAAGCCAGCCATTTGTATTTGGTGTATGGTAAGTAAAAATTTTTTATGTCGTCCTAGGAGCTTCCATTTTGCGACCATTTGAGCTATCGATCCCAAATCTTTGATGAATGACATTAAGCTATCCCTGTAACTAATATCTCCTCGATTCATCTACAAATACAAGAGCAATTTAGATCCCACACAGTCAACAATTTGGTAAGATGGATTGCATAGCATTGTATAACAATATAGGGGAGAAAAAGAAACGAAAAAAGGAACAATACAAATAAAGATAAGAGAAGAAAAAAGAAATGGAAGTTAACGAAGAACATTTTAACACATAAATAGGTAGAGAAATAAAAATATAAACAATACACCACCCACGATCAGCATATTATTTTAAAGGGAAAGAAAATTCGAATATAAGTTCCATTGAGGGGAACTAACAAGAATCGGTGGTTTGAACCAACAGAGTCATCCTTATTATGTAAAGATGACCTCCATTGTCGATATGTGGAACAACAATTGGTATCAACAAAACCGGACATTCTACCATCTCTACTGCCTGTTATGGAAAGACATACATGTTAGTACGAAATGTCAATATCTCGTTCTCCACTATGAAATTTATCAAGTTTCAATCTGGATGATACTACATTTGTTTATCCGAAGAATCAGGGTTTGAGAGAATGCAAGCTTGTCGGTCCATATGATGTTCAATATGAGGAGAAAAGTTCGAAGTTTTTACACGTACAATTGGAGTTTTAACAATTTTCGTGATGAGTCAAGTAAGAGCAAAAATCGACATGCAGTCCCTTGTGGGGATTGAATATTCAGGTAAGGAGGTACATTTTGTCTAGACAGGGCTGCCTCTTAAGGATCCTACCCTCTCATGGTATGTAGAATTTATCAATCTTACATGAACAAACAATGGATTGTGTAGCTGATCAGTAATGTACTTCAAATCTATGAATTATATTATTTAAAAAGAAAAAATAATAGAAAGGATCCACTCGGATACTCATCTTTAACACTTTCAAAAGGAATTCACCGTCCAGTCCAGTATTCTTCCTTATGTACTGGTATTAAAATAGTCAAATTTAGAGAGCTTGAGTGTTACCAGCAAAAGAATTATAATATCCTGATTCATTATGTGCAGCAACTCCAGTACATCCAGGATTTTCTTTGGTGGTTCTCATCAGTACTGACGGTTGTGATGAAGAACACAGTCTTCTCTTTGAAGAAACTTCACTTCGTACATTACTTACTTTGACATTCGATTGACTTGAATCCTTGGCTAAACTCAAGACTTTTCTCATAGATCTTCTTCTTGTCCCCGAAAATTCGGATACAAAGTTTTCAGGGTTGATTCTAAGAATATGAAAAGCCTCCTTAGCTAATTTATGGATAGCCCAAGCCTGTATGACATCAGAGCTTGGCAGTAAATTAGTAAAGGGTATGATGACCTTAAAGGCAACCCAAAGTGGAATTGTAACTACCCAGCCTGTATGAAATCAGAGCTTGGCAGTAAATTAGTAAAGGATATGACGACCTTAAAGGCAGCCCAAAGTGGAATCGTAGCTAAAGATAATAATTTGAATGAAATACTTGTCTAAAATAAATGGTAACTGTGGAATTGAAATGCATTGCATTTCTGATATCAAAAATACATCATGCAGCATAGTTATCCAAAAAAAGAAAGAAAAAGATAGCACAAAATAATCAAACAACTAGAAAAGCTACATAAAGAAAATCCATGGAGGTTAACTACAATCTTACTTTAGCAAGTACAGAAACGAGAAGGAAACAGAAATTTTGGAGAAAGCAACAAACCTTGAACTGTTCAAGGTTCTGATACATTCCTTCATGAAGTTTAGCCCTCATAGTGGCGAAGTCCATAGGCTCTTTAATGATTTCACAATAATCCTCAACCTTCAGAAACGAGGAAGTTATTAAATGAAGTAATAGAAGAAATAAAACATTCATGAATTGATTGGTGAAATCAATGCCAAAACAGACCTCATCAGCATCGACTGGTTCAACAAATATTTCATAAGTATCTCTCCTAAACTCCGAAAAAAAAAAAAAAAAAAATTTGTAATCAATAGTTAATCATGGAAATATGTGTTGATATAGTGTTTAAGCAATTCACAATGTGTGATGCAATGACATACCTCAGTATGCTACAAATAATATTTACAAACATATGAATGTATTGACCTTTGTAGTATGTCAAGAATGAGCTCTAGCATACGCTTTTCTGGCAATTTTAATGTTTTACCTAATATTATGAGGAATTAATCATATTAAAAGGGGAAATAATTAAAGCTTAATATCGGAGTTATGATTTAGCAATTTGAAAGAGAGTAGGCCAACCATTAGGGATTTCACGATCATCATGTTTATGATTTCCGTTATTCTTTTCCAATTCACTATCAGTTGTCCATCTGACTGATATTATAAATAAACAAATATTATGTCACAATACTTTATCAAACTTTCCATCACATAGAAACCCACAATGCACAATATCTCTGATAGATGCAAGTGACTTACCGAAATCGATTGAATGATCTTCACCTTGCGGATTATCTCTACCCTGCACATGACCGGAAACATAATCTCTAATTAGATAAGGTAGGAGCTAAAAGGAAAAGGGAAGAAAAAAAATCTTCGTTTTTAAGACTATCAGAGATGATTGATCTAATCTCTTAAGGCTCAGTAAAGATATAGAGTTGAAGTTACAAGTATTATTTACTTCAATAAACGTAGCAAGACTTCATAATCTCAAAATTTTCTACGAATTCCTATTACATTACTTTTTCGATTATTTAGTCTAATGTCCTATATAAGAGGTCAGAACACTTTCCAGGAAAATAAAGGTCTTTGACCAATATATGATGGAGGTAATAACAATAAGATGGAAATGACTGAAATTTTATGCTAATCGGTCTTATATTTTCTGGTATTTTTTTCACTAGTGCACACTATGATTCATGCTTCCAGAAACTTTGTAAAACAAGATATAACTAGATAAAACCCACATTTGCAACTGCGATTTAACAGGAAGAACTGAGTAGTCTTGTCTTAATTATCATTCCTAGTCTTTTAAAATTTGAGATTGCTATGGTCACTCATTGCTTTCACAATTCCAACATCCGAATTAAATTTCTCCTCCTTGCTCGAATGTCAAATTTTATTGGCAAATAGGAAGCCAGGGAATGAACGTTCAGAGGACTACCTTCCACGCTTGTTTGTGTACGTTCAAGACTGAATTAAATGCAGCTTCACCAAATCTTCTCTTCACCCTTGTCCTTGTCCTTGAAGGTTCCCCTTGATCTTCCCCCAAACCTCTGAACCGAAGGGCTTCTGCTGAATTTCCTTCCGCGCATCCGAGGTTGATATTCGTGGGCTTCTCCTCCTATGCCCATCTCTCCAATTCGCTTTGTGAGTTTTCCTACAGCAGAAACATTCCACCCATCAAATTACTCAAAAAAGGAACAAATATACAATATATTGTGTTATGACATTAAGGGATGATTACTAGCTAATTAGCCTAATTACGGTAGCTAATTAACGTGATTAGATATACCTTAATTAGACAGATTAACATACCTTAATTAGACGGATTGTATGTGTATATGTATCTTCGTTTTCCATTGAATAGTAAATAAGAAACTACTCTTCAATTCCTCTCTTAATTTACATGGTATCAGAGCCATGTTTGGCTCAGATTTAATTTTCTGATCTTCGCTGGTTTCACCCAGAAACCGGGTCTTGGTCGTGGGTCAAGTAGTGACCATTCTGTCTCAAAAGAGGCGAAAGTTCCCGACCGGCCAGTTCCCAAAGTCTGGTTGCCGGATTCTAAGCGCCGACTGGTGTTGGCTCCGACCATCTAGCCGAAATCGACTGCTAATTTTCGACCGTATCCCGTGGCCGCGTTTCTGCGTGTCCGGCGCTTCTGTGAGTGCGGCTTCTCGGTCAACAGCGTGGCTGTTGATCGACGGCAGGTTGCACCTCCAGCTCACCGGCGATCGAACTGTTTAAGGCAGTGTGTGGGTTTTTGCTGTGGGTTTGAACCGGGTCTCGACGTTTGATCAGTGTTGGGTGTTAAGGTATTTCTCCACCGTTTCTTGGCTGGTTTGTTGTTTATTTGGGCAGGATCATTTTGTTTGGGCTGTTATTTACCAAGCTGGTTTGTTATTTATTTGGGCTTGGATAATTTGTTTGGGCTGTTATTTATTTGGGCTTGGGTAATTTGTTTGGGCCCCTCTTCTTTTCTTTTAGAAGTGTGATTATCTCTACCCATTGCTTTGGGACTTTCGTGGAAAATGACCGAGTCCAAAGGATTTGTGAGTGAGATGATTCCAATAATGTCCAAAATTACTGAAAATAAATTGAATGGCACGAATTATTTGGAATGGAGTAAGACAATTAGAGTCTATTTACGAAGCATAGATAAAGATGATCACTTAACTGAAGATCCACCTAAAGATGATACCAAACAGAGCTGGTTGAGAGACGATGCACGACTCTTTTTACAAATCAGAAATTCTGTCGACGGTGGGGTAATTGGTTTAATTAATCACTGTGAATTTGTAAAAGAACTAATGGATTATCTGGAGTTTTTGTATTCTGGCAAAGGAAATGTATCACGGATTTATGAAGTTTGCAAGGCCTTTTATCGTGCTGAAAAGGAAACCAAGTCTCTTACAGCTTATTTCATGGACTTCAAAAGGACGTATGAAGAACTCAATATGCTATTGCCTTTTAGCACTGATGTCAAAATGCAGCAAACTCAAAGAGAACAAATGGCTGTTATGAGCTTCCTGGCTGGTCTTCCTTCCGAATTTGAGACTTCCAAATCCCAAATTCTCTCTAGCTCCGAAATTCATGCAATCTCTAAGAGAACATATGGCCGTGATGAGCTTCCTGGCTGGTCTTCCTTCCGAATTTGAGACTTCCAATTCCCATATTCTCTCTAGCTCCGAAATTTCCTCTCTTCAGGACGTCTTCAGCAGAGTTCTGCGCACTGAAAATACATCACCTATTCAGCAAAATAATGTTCTTGTTGTCAAAGGGGGAGGGAATGACTATGGGAGAAGGACGAACAACAGGGGACGAGGAAACAAGATTATTGATAACTGTAACAATGATTCAAGCAACATTGTTTGCTACTACTGCCATGAGTCAGGCCACACCAAGCCATACTGTAAGAAATTGCAGAATTGCAATCAGAGAACTCAGACTGCCAATGTTGCTACTGCCCCTAGTTCATCTTTTAAGAAAACAGTTATGATATCAGCTGACGAGTTCGCCAAATTTTCTCAGTATCAAGAATCACTGAAGGAATCTACTTCAATTACTGCCCTTGCTGAGTCAGGTAAAACGTGTCTTATCTCCTCTTCAAACAACTGGGTGATTGATTCCGGTGCCACAGATCACATGACTGGTAATTCTAATACCTTCTCTAGCTTTCGATCACATAAAGCTCCCTCTCCTGTTACCATAGCTGATGGGTCGACCTATAATATTGTGGGATCTGGGACTGCTAAACCAACGTCTTCTATTACCTTGTCATTTGTTCTAAGTCTACCAAAACTTGCTTTTAATTTGATTTCTGTAAGCAGACTTACCAAGGATCTTAACTGTTGCATTTCATTCTTTCCTGATCATTGTCTTTTTCAGGATTTTATGACGAAGCAGATTATTGGTAAATGACATGTATCTGATGGTCTTTATATTCTTGATACGTGGGTACCTCGATCTGTTGCTTGTTCTAGTACCATCTCTCCAGTTATAGCACATTGTCAGTTGGGACATCCATCTTTGTCTATGTTGAAGAGGTTATGTCCTCAGTTCCATGATGTATCTTCACTAGATTGTGAGTCATGTCATTTTGCAAAACATCACCGTAGCTCGTTAGCTCCAAGAATTAATAAACGAGTTGAGTCTGCTTTTGAGTTGGTTCATTCTGATGTTTGGGGACCATGTCCTGTTGTGTCTAAAACTGGGTTTAGATACTTTATTACTTTTGTGAATGATTTTTCTCGAATGACATGGATTTACTTTATGAAAAATCGATCTGAAGTGTTTTCTCATTTTTGTGCCTTTCATGCTGAAATTAAAACCCAATTTAATACTTCTGTGCATATACTAAGAAGTGATAATGCTAAGGAATACACGTCAGACTCATTCCAGACCTACATGACTCAACATGGGATTCTTCACCAATC